TGTACCCGAGTTGCGGGCACATCCCCAGTAGGGGGTGTGCAAGAGGCAGCTGGTCGATGGTTCTCTCTCATCGAAGTTTCTAGCTCTCTATACCTCTCCCTTCCTCTCTGTAAAAAATCAATAAAATATATTTTAAAATATATATATATATTGACTTAATAATGCAACAGATATGGCATCTTCAGAGTTAATCAGGAGACTGAAGAGACAAAATGCAAACATTATGTTTGTTATTATATATATATCCACTGATCGCTCAAAAACCTATCATTTCTGTCTAAAAACTCTAAGAGTACTTCAGGTAGATCTAGGAAACAGAATAGACCAAAGAAACTTTTAATCTGAAAGTTTATTATTTCAGTTACAGCTAGACTCTTCCTTTTAGAATTAAAAAAGAAAAACTATTATCTATACTATAATTCCATATTTTAAAAAATAGACTTTAAAATTTTTTCTATATCTTTAGGGCTCAGATCAAAGAACAAAGGAGAGTCTACAAAGGAGAGTCTCCTCCCTTTAAGAATAATATTTCAGAATAAAAATGTCATGGGAAGCCGTTATGATTAGACCTTTCCTTTCTCTGGGGCAGAATTTTTGTAAAATGTCACTTTATTAGACTGGTTCTAACAGCAAACATAAACTTTATAATAATTATCCATCTCAAATGTCAGAAGTCTAAATTTTCTGTATCTTTCTTCTTACATCATTATTCTGCTAATTTTCTCTTAGAATATTCAAATACCTATTTACTATATTTGTTTTAGTTTCATCATCTGCCTAAGCCCCTAAAGTTATATAATGATTTCTCCATATTTGGAATAAGATATTGAACAGAAAATCGGGTGCTAAATAGTCTGCTAATGTCTATATGACATGAACTCTAACTATATTTAGAGATAGCATTATTCTATTGAAATTTCAATGCTTTATTGTTTTAGTATCTCAAGATTATTTTTAACGATCTATATTTCTGAGATGAGAAATAGGGATTATGAAGAAAAAGCTTTAAAAAGCCATATTCTTATAAGTGATATATCACATAAACAAAATGAAAGTCAAAAATCACATGATCATATCAATAGATGTACAAAAAGCATTCAACAAAATACAACACCCTTTTTGGATAAAAACTCTCAGCAAACTGGGAATAGAGGGATATCTCAACATAATAAAGTCCATATATAACAAACCTACAGCCAACATCATACTCAAGGGACAAAAACTAAAACCATTTCCCCAAGAATAGGAACAAGATAGGATTGTCTGCTTTCACCACTCTTTTTTTTTTCTTTATTGATTAAGGTTTTACAAATGTATCCTTTTCTTTTAATAATATATATTTTATTGATTTTTTACAGAGAAGAAGGGAGAGAGAGAGAGAGCTAGAAATGTCGATGAGAGAGAAAAATCAACCAACTGCCTCTTGCACACCCCCTGCCGGGGATGTGCCCGCAACCAAGGTACATGCCCTTGACCGGAACTGAACCCAGGACCTTTCAGTCCGCAGACCAACGCTCTACCACTGAGCTAAACTGATTTTGGCTACATATGTATCCTTATTCCTGCCTCAACCCCTGCTTGTGTCCTCACTGTCCCCTCCTGGTGTCTGTGTCCATTGGTTATGCTTATATGCATGCATACATGTCCTTTGGTTGATCTTTCCCCCTTCTCCCCATCCTCCCCTGACTTCACTCTGAGGTTTGACAGTCTGATTGATGCTTCTCTGTCTCTGGATCTGTTTTTATTCATCAGTTTATGTTGTTCATTATATTCCACAAATGAGTGAGATCATGTGATATTTATCTTTTTAATGACTGACTTATTCCACTAAGCATAATCCTCTCCATTTCTATTCATGCTGTTGCAAATGGTAGACCCTTCCTTTTTACAGTAGCATAGTATTCCATTGTGTAGATGTACCACAGTTTTCTAATCCACTCTGCTGATATGCACTTAGGCTGTTTCCAAATCTTAGTTATTGTAAATTGTGCTGCTATGAACATGGGGGTGTATATATCCTTTCTGATTGGTGTTTCTAGTCTTTTGGGATACTAGGACAATGGAAACTAAAGAGAAAATAAACAAATGGGACTATGTCAAAATAAAAAGCTTCTGCACCACAAAAGAAACCATCAACAACACAAGAAGAAAGCCCACTGCATAGGAGAACATATTTACCAATATTATCACCAATCAGGGTTTAATGTCCAAGATTTATAGGGAACTCATACAACTTAACAAAAGATAAACAATCCAATAAAAAAAATGGGCAATGGACCTAAATAAATACTTCTCCAAAGTGGACATACAGATGGCCAAAAAACGTGAAAAAATGCTCAAAGTCACTGATCATCAAAGAGATGCAAATTAAAATTTCAATGAGGCATAACCTCACACCTGTCAGAATGGCTACCATCAACACAACAAAGCACAAGTGCTGGGGAAGATGTGGAGAAAAGGGATCTCTAGTACACTGTTGGTGGGAATGCAGACTGGTGTAGCCACTGTGGAAAACAGTATGGAATTTCCTAAAACAAAAAAAATTAAGTATGGAACTGCTATTTGACCAAGAAATCCCACTTCTAGGAATATATCCTAAGAAACCCAAAACACCAATCAGAAAGAGTATATGCACACCTTTCTTCATAGCAGCACAATTTACAATAGCTAAGATCTGGAAACAACCCAAGTGCCCACCAGTAGACAAGTGAATAAAAAATATGTGGTACATTTATACTATGGAGTACTATGCAACAGTAAAAAAAGAAGGATCTCTTATCCTTTGAGACAGCATGGAGGAACATTGAGAATAGTATGTTAATGAAAATAAGCCAGTCAGAGAAACACAAGTATTATATGATCTCACTCATATGTGGAATCTAATGAACAAAATAAACTGTTGAATAAAATAGATGCAGAGACATAGAAGAAACAGACTGTCAAATCTCAGAGGGAAGGTGGGGGTGAGAAGAGATCAACCGAGGAACTGGTATGCATATATGCATAACCCATGGACACAGACAATAGGGTGGTGGAGGCCTGGGACAGAGAAGAGGGATGGGGACAGGAAGGGGTCCATGCTGGAAGAAAGGGGGTCATATGTAATACTTTTAACAATAAGGATTTTCAACCAGAGAATGATATGACAAAAAAAAAAAAAAGCTGTATTCTTTTTTAAAAAATGAATTTGGTTTTAATTTAGATTGTTGAAGTATATTTAAATTGTCAAAAGCTAACTTCATTTTGTTAAACATTTCAAACATCCCACGCAAAATAGTAAGAAATAAAGTGACTGTAAATGGCTGTTGAGTTTTTCCTAATAAAAGCAGCAGTTGTTCAAAATTATTTTTTTTCTATTTATGCCTAACAACCTTAGTTTGTTTTTCCATTCATCAGGTCCCCCATCACACGATTGCACTGAATGCATATTATCTTGTCACTTTGTTAAATACTTCCTTTCCTAAAGCAACAAGAAATAAATCATTTGCAAGAGCATGTGGGTATAAAAGTTGTATTCTTAGAAGTGGTCCCTAAAGACATAACTGCTGGCAACTTCTTCCTGAGCTAATTCTCTTCTCTCTGATTCACTTCTGACTCACTTCTTACAACCATTTAGCTTTGTTTCTTTAGCTTGAGAATTCTCCAAATGTTTCTCCCCTTCATCAGAAACCAAAGGTTGAACTCTGCTTTGTCAGAGCTATGATGTTCTTGAAGGTGGGGAGGAGAAAATCCCACTACAAAGAGCGAGGAGTCTAACTTTTTAAGCAAAGGGAAAATGCATTCTTTTGTTTGACTAGCATTTTCATCTATCTGTGAGTCCTACAAACATTTATCAGTTTACCTTTGTTCCTGAAAGTTAGAAAGAATGCTAATAATTGTTGGGAAGTAATCATTACAATCTAATCTGTTAGAAAATATGATGCTGACTTTCACAATACAATGCATTGTTGAAAGTCATGAGTCAAACTGTGTTGAAACCTCAAGTGTGTATTATTCCAACATTCACAGTCACCTTTTGGGAATGTTTGGAATAGTCTATACGTAAGTAAGAGTTAATCTGATTGCTATTAGTTAGCAGCTATGTGTTAGAAAGTAAAATGATGCTCAAGAAGCTATTCTGGTATCCTCTAAAATCACTATTTGAACAAACTTCAACTATAATCTAATTGGCACACTCATGATTTTTTTTTTCCCAAAGTAAAAAAAAAAAAAAAAAAAGTATATATTTGCAATAAAATTTAGCTGACTGCTATTTTCTCCAACATAGCAACTTCGGTTGGGGATTGAAAAAATGTCCCTATCAAGTAGCTGAATGTGGTAAAATAACATGACCTTTAGGTTAATTCATTTGGTCTCTGGAAAATAGAAGAATTCCACAAATGCAAACTATGCATGGTGAACTGCTACTACCTGCCCATCAAAACCATACCTAAAAATGTTTAGCAAAAGCAGACCAAGGGATAAAAGACCATAAAATCAAGGTCATGAGGGCCTGGGTCCTTTTCATTTTCCATTTTAAAAAATGAAACAACCTTGGAATGCCATGTCTCCTGATTTTATAAAATAGAAATGTGGACTTATTCAGGAACCATAGAGACAGACAGTTTTCTCTTTTTTAAATCTCTCATCTTTTCACTAGCAAGTCTAAATGAGAATGTGATAAAACTAGGGAATGTTATGAATAGAGTTAAATGAATCATAGGACCCACTGTACTGATGCAGGACACAGTCATGGCAAATGCAAGTTATCTGTACATTGCGTTTCTCATCCCGAGGCTCAAAATCTGCACCTGCCTTGTGTCTGTGTACTCTTGTGACCATTCACACCACCTCTGTTACACTCAAGGCACAATACAATGCACGTATAGAGCTCAATGAAAACAAAAGTAAAGTCTGTTCAGGAGCTGTAAACAGTGGAAGTGCAGAACTCACATTGTGAATAGAATACAAATGTCTGTATTCTCAACCCCCAGCATGAGCAGAATGAGGAACCGGCTTACCTCTGATGTGCCAAGCGCATGTTCTCCAGCTAAAAGCAGCATACTCAGTCCTCCCATTTGAGTAGGATCTAAGTAAAAAACAAATAAATCATCAATTTACAAACAATAAGTACATATAATCCACAGAGTTAAAAAGGGAAACTCACAAAGAGTAGCAATCAAAATGCAACAGAACCACATATAACTTTTTATAGAAAATCTTTTCACAATTTATTATGCCTGGCATATATGTACTTAGTACTCATACTTTTGTCAGCCTTTTAAATAGCACTGTAGTCCCACCATTCCAACATAATACATTCTTCAATACCATAGTTGTTTACAACATAAATTATCTCCTTAATCTGATGCTTCTTTCCTAACAGCCATGAGGGTTTAGGTGGATTTTTTTAAACAAAAGAATGCTATGCTTATCTTCTTAGAAGTTTGAGATTGTTATTCTCAAATTGTTATTTATGCCATGTAAAATAAGAGCTGATATAAAGAACCAGGCTATAAGAGGAACTAGAAAATAGAGACAAATTTTACAAATGGGCCTGAAAAATCTAGTAGGCTTTATTCAAACAATCTTTCTCTAAAATGTAAAATTAAAAATGATGTCTTTTTTACATAGTAAATCTTAGAGATATAGTCAGGCCCTTCCTTGAAATAGCTTTAAGATTTAAAATGAATCCTTTTTATATTAGTGAAAGTCTTTGTTTTCATTTCTTCAATAATCAACAGAAACAGAAAGACAAAATAAAAACAGAAAATTGATATATCTCTGACCTGGAGTTATATCTGAACAAAGTAAGTATTATAGACAATTAGAAACTTATATCCTTTAAGACTGTCTTAAATATCAGAACTGCAATGAAATAACTTGAAAATGCCTAACTCACTGCCTATCATAGTACATGTAGGTCCTCAATCAATGAGTTTTTAGCCCTAAACAGTGTGGCTAAGTGGCAATTCCCGGTCAGGGCATGTACCCAAGTTGCAGGTTCAACACCTGGCTGGGGTGCAAACAGGCATCAACCAATCAATGTTTCTGTCTCTCCTTCTCCCTTTCTATCTCTCTAAAATCAATATAAACACATTTTTAAAAGTAAGTAAATAAATTGGGTTTTAATTTTGGGAACCTCTCTACAATTAAAAAGAAGCATTAGGTATACTGTTGCCTGAAGACATTAGAAATTTCTTTTTTTTTCTTTGTGGAATTCTTATTTAAATGCATGCCCTTGAGTATATCTTTGTATACAATCTGTTCCCAGAACTCATGAAGCAACTCTGACCACATTTTAAAAATTGAAAAGAAGGAAAAAAAAAAAATGTGGTAGTTAAAATAAAAATAAAAAAAGGAAAAGATAGAGGGGAAATATGTCACTATATGATTAGGAAGTCAAGCTTAATGTTGAAAGGTGGCCACAGGAAGACACACATAGAATACATAAGAGCATGCTGATTTGATGAAATAAGGCTTTTTACAGTTAAGAACTATTGTGGCTGTTAAATAGATACTTAAATCTATTTTTTTTAAATCAAGAGAGAGAAATAAGTTTAGCAAAATGGAAAAGTTTAATTTGGTTCTCTGGACAGTTAAATAATTTTGCAGCTATAATTTTAGAGATCAGGAGGATTGGATGATGGCTTTCTAATAAAGATAAAAATTTGTTATTTCAAATGATAAAGTAAAATAGGAACACACATATGATGATTTTAAGTTATACCCCAAAGTGACTTTGCAAGAAGTTTGATGTAATGACACAAAAAAAATAGACAAATTACCAACATACCTTATATCCTCTCTAATAAAAGAGAAACATGCAAATTGACCACACCAACAAGCCCCACCCATCAGCCAATCAGGATGAGTATGCAAATTAACTCAACCAAGATGACAGTTAATTTGCATATCCAGGCCACAGCAAAGACTGAAGATAGTGGAGAAAGAAACAAAGCTCTGCAGAAGGGAGCAAAGCTGTGGAAAAGCACACAAGCAAGGAGGGGAGAAGGAAGGGAAGCAGGCGGGGAAGCAGAGACCACAGCAGGAAGCCCTATTGCAGGAATCTTCCTGCAAGGGGCATCTAGTTAATTTATATAATGTTATTTACAGATATCAAAAATATATTTATATAAAGAATATGCTTTACTTTCACTGAGAGGGCTTGTTCTAAATTAAATTCTACATAGCTTTCCCTTCTTGGAAATCATACAACTGATTGCTTTGAGGTTATTCAAAATAGCAAAATGCTGTGTGCCAAGAACTACTGGGAAAACAAAACAAAAAATGAGATTCCATGTTGAGGAAAAGCTTAAACTGGCCCCCAAAAGCCCTATAGTATCCTTTAGATTGAAACAGCTAAGGACCATGTTTTAATTAAAGGCAAATTAATTTGCATTCATTGTATTGAAAAGGGAGTAACTGGAAGTATGAGCCAATGTTATACAGTATACACTAAATTAACAAGGGCTCTGATCCTAGATTTCCAACATCCATCACAAGTCCTTACATGAGATAAATGCAAAATAGGTGTTGTTGCTTTTTTTTTCTTTCCTATATTTTGCTCTAAAGAGCACAGTTCTTAAAAGCTGACCTGCACATATCTTGGTTGAAAGTCTGGGTCTCACTTTTAATTTATAAGTATGTAAGTTAGATTAATAAACTGTCAAAAATGGTACTATAAACAGACACCATTCATTGCTTTCTGTAATTTATTTACAATTATGTTTGGTTTGTAAAGAGCCATTGTGTGCAAAAACAAAACAAGACAAAACAAAACTCCAAAAAACAAAACTACACAGAATGACCTAGATTTAAAATTGTAATAAAAAGAATGGAAGATAAATAATAATTGAAGAAATTCAGTTAGAAGCCCATTATCCATATATTCTCTTTTGGTCCTGATAATAAAAGGTTTTATAAAACACTCCAATGGTGTGGGAAGTCCAGAATGCACACCAAGACTACTAGTAAGTGGTTTAAAGCTAAAATAGTACAAAGTGACAGCTAAAATGAGGAAAGATCTCCGATTTGATTCTTCTGGGATATGTAGAAGTATTATTTTGGAAGCTCACCCAGAATTATACTACACACACTTAAATAACAATCACCTGAAGATTTTGTTCTCCTAGAATGCCACCATTATATTAGAACTAGTGGCCTGGTGCATAAAATTCATGCACACTAAAAGGGAATTAGAGGAAATATCTTAATATTGCCATTTGCCCTTTCTCTATAATAGAAGTGTCAAAGATGGAAGAAAATTAGTAAAATATATATGAAAATCTCCCTCCTGTCAGAATTTGGGGCATGCCACAGGGCCTAGAGTCAAGTCCCCATCCACCACCTGTACACCGTTCCAAAATGCAGGAGACCCAGACCCAGCTGGCCCCACCCCATCAAGCCCCTCTGGGCAGTGGCACAGCCTTGGGTGGGAGGTGCAGTCTCAGGTCCCCTATCAAGCCTCATCAGGTGGCGGTGCAGCCTCAGTTCCCCCGGCCTAGTGCCGGGGCAGGGGGCCCATACTGAGGTACCCTGGCTCGCACTGGGGTGGGGGGGTGTGGCCTCATGTCTCCTGTCAAGCCCCGCCGCCGGACGGGGGCATGGTCTGAGGGCCCTCACCCCAGCCAGGCACCATGCAGCCTCAGGTCCCTGCTGTTCAGTCGTGACATTACAGCGTTCAAGCTAATTTGCATATTCCTCTGTTATATAGATACATTCCTTAGGCTTATACATGACACCACCACATACTTTGTTATAATATGATTAGTGGTCCTACATACAAATCCGTGCTTGCTGCCACTTGCCTCAGCTGGCTGCCCCACCCACTGCTGCTTGCAGCTCTCTGATGCACATAGCTCACTGCCCCACCCTCCCATAGCTCTCCACCTGCTGCCCTGCCCTCCTGTAGCTCTCTTCCAATCATAGCTCATTGCCCCACTTCCTGCTGATCAGTTGTTACATATAGTGTTCTGTCCAGTTTGCATATTACCCTATTATAAGATTAAATCACATTAGGCTTACTAGCCATAAAAAAAAAAAGTGTCATCACAATATTGTTCAATCTCAATTCCAAGCTCCCTATATTACAAATGGTTAAGTGCTCTCATTTAGAAAAAAAATTGCTTGTAATAAGAACGTAGGAATCCTATACCTCAACCTCAACTTCACTACTTTCCTCTTTCAATTTCATCCTGGAAAATTTCTCTTTTGGAAGACAGAGCCATTTACAGAGTGAATATAAATACTTTATTTCACGGTTATAAATGCTTTAGCATTCCTTACCACCCAAAGAGTATTAAAGGTCACATAACAAATGAGGCCATCTGGACTTTTAAATTTGCTCAGCTCACACAAGACAGGGGGCAGGAGAGGGAGTAGGATGGGAATTCCCTGTCAGAAACATCTGTCAGATACATCTCACATTTGTCACAAAGTTGTTCATATTCTTACCCTAGATCAGTGGTTCTCATCCTTTCTAATGCCTTGACCCTTTAATACAGTTCCTCATGTTGTGGTGACCCCCAACCTTAACATAATTTTCGTTGCTACTTCATAACTGAATTTTGCTACTGTTTGAATCATAATGTAAATATGTGTTTTCTGATAGTCTTAGGCTTTACAGCAGCAGTTCTCAACTGTCAGAAAACACAGATATTTACATTATGATCACCACAATATGAGGAACTGTGTTAAAGGGTCACAGCATTAGAAAGGTTGAGAACCCCTGCCTCAGATGATCACATCCTCATTTCATCTACACAACAGTGGCTCTTTAAGTACCCATAACAACTAAGGTGCTTACTCAGCTTACAGTGGATGTCTGTAAACTATTTTGTTACATTATAAAATTCCCTGAGTTCCTGACAATATCCACATTGCTGTCTGTTTTTTCATAATGACAATGTCAGGAATTCACACCTCCTTTAATTATACATATGCATTCTATGTATGCTCCAAAGGTTTAAGATATGCAATATTGCCACTATTTCCTACTGATTATATATTCTTCTTCTTCTCTCTCTTCTTTATTCTATCTCTCTCTATTATCGGGTCTAGTAATAATTAATGTCGTTTTTAAACATTCGTTTAAAATCTTGCTTGGCGTTGACTTGTATTGACATAACCTTCAAACATGTGATAGCTACAGAACGTGTGAAGTGCAATTAACAAGTTTTGCTTGAAAAAGTTTGTGTTTGGTTTGGTTTTTGTTGCAAAACTAGGGCTAAGAAGATGGCGGATGAAGAGCATATTCGGCACTGCATGCTTTACGAGTTTCAATTAGGAAGAAAAGCAAGTGAGGCTGCAAAAAACATCTGTAGTGCTCTTGGTCAAGATGCAGTTAGTGCCAGAAAATGCCAGCGTTGGTTTGAGAAATTTCGGGAGAGAAATTTTTCGTTAGATGACAAGAGTGGTCGAGGCCGTGTGTCCAATTTTGATCAAGAAGCTCTTCAAGCTCTTTTGGTGCAAAATCCTCAAATTACCCAACTTTAAATTGTTCACAAAACACAATTTCCAATCAATTGTGTGCACTTGGCAAAGTCCAAAAGTTTGGAAAATGGGTTCTTCATGAGTTGACCGACAACAACCGTAATCAAAGAGTCACAATTTGCAGTTTGCTCCTCTCTCGTCAAAACCGTTTGCCGTTTTTAGAGCAAATTGTTACCGGAGATGAAAAATGGGTGCTGTATGTTAATTTGAAAAGGCGGCCTCAATGGTTGGACAAAAATGAGGCTCTGCAGCCCACGCCAAAACCTGACTTGCATGCGAAAAAAGTGATGTTGTGTGTTTGGTGGAATTTCAAAGGAATTCTTCATTATGAACTTTTACCATCTAACCAAACCATTACAAGTGCAGTGTATAGTGCCCAATTGGAAAGGTTAGCCCAAGCTTTAAGAGAAAAAGAACCCGCGCTGATTAATCGGAAGGGCGTAATTCTTCACCACGATAACGCGTGACCGCATACTGCAAGAACCACTGCTGAAAAACTGCGCCAGTTGGAATGGGAAGTTCTCCCTCAACCTGCATATTCTCCTGATAGTGCCCCTTCCGATTACCATTTGTTTCATTCTTTGCAAAACTTTCTTCTTGGAAAAAAATTTAATAATGAAGAATGCCTCAAAAATGCACTGACCGAATTTTTTGCATCAAAATTACAAGAATTTTACAACAGAGGGATTAAAATGCTTCCTGAGCATTGGGCACAAGTAGTATAAAACAATGGCAACTATATTGTTGATTAAATTTTGTTGTATTGTTTAAATAAATTCGATTTAAAAAAGTATTAGAAAACGACATCAATTATTACTAGACCTAATATTTGGTAAAAGTACTGCCTAAATAAAGAACCGGTAGAATTAGTATTCAAACTCACCAGCCATTCCAAAGTTAAGTTGAGGCATTTCTTCAGTCTTAGCTTTCTTGGGGCTTGGCAAGTCTCTTGAAGAGTCAGATGGGAAGGCCCATAGCTTCTTTCGTGGATTGACAGTGGGTGTTGGGGACTTCACAGGTTTGTTTGTGGTAGGACACCATTTGTAGCCAGGATTTGCTTTCATAAATGCATCTTTATACTATAAATAAAGAATAAATAACAGGTTTTAATGAACACAAACACTGAAAATGTTCTAGCAGCCTTCACGTCATTATCCTAATATGGATAATAATTGGAAGAAAACACAAACCCACTCTCAGTAATTTCAATGGCTTTCCTTGTCGGATGACAATTCAGAACATGAATTCATTTACTAAAAATTTCATTTGTGGGATGAGGATACAGAACCAGCCAATTTTTTTTTTTATCTTTTAACCCTCAATATTTTATTTATACAAAAAGCTGTCAGACCTTGTTGGAGAGATGGAGTCATTTGTCATGGAAAGAGCCAAAGGCTTTGAAGACAGAAAAACCAGAATTCAAAACCCTAACATTCCCACTAGGGGTATGGTGGCTAAGGATGGAGACCCGAACTGGAGAATATAACACCCCTGGGCCTCAGCTTTGTCTCCACAGACAGGAAATAACGCCAAACGCCTAGGGTTACTGCAGGTAGAGGTGCATAGCATGGTACCTCGTCCACATTACTAAGTGTGAACAGGGCAGTGACCAGGTTCTGCTTACTGTACACTTTGGTAAGTACCATAAAAATTAAACCTGTACTTTGATGTAGGCAAAACTAACAGAGGAAAATAATCAGCTATGGGGTAAATGAACCAAGATCGAGAATAGAAAAAGGGGAACGAGGTAGGACAACATACTATATAACTTTCAGTATTTTGAAGATGCTGAGTACTAGGTACAGAGTCTGGGGACCTGAGTTCAAAAGCCCTCTATGCTATCAACCAGCTGTGGACATTAAGCAAGTTGTTTATCCTTTCTCAGCCTCAATTCCTCCATCTGTAAAGTGTAACTGCACTTGCCAACATGCCAGGGCTTTATAATGAGCACAGATATTCACTAATATGAACATGCTGAGAGCTGTAATGTGTGATGTTGCAATTAATCCATCACAAACTGTTTTCTGGGAGGTTTCAGCCTTCACTGACAGTGTCCTTTCTCCTTTATTTCCTGTGGCTTTCTCCAGTAGCTCTTTCTCCCACATCTGCCACTTTGTTCCCCTTTCCTGACTAAATTACATAAAAACTATTTACTGTTATTATATATACCAGTGCACAAAATTCATGCACTCGGGGGTGGGGCATTCCTCAGCCTGGCCTGTGTCCTCTCGCTGTCAGGGAGCCATCGGGGATATCTACCATAGCTACTGCACTCACAAACTCCACTTGCAAACCATGAGGCTGGCTTCTGGCTGAGCAGCGCTCACACTGACCACCAGGGGGCAGCTCCTGCATTTGGCGTCTGCCCCCTGGTGGTCAGTGCACGTCATAGTGACTGGTTGTTCCACTGTTCAGCTGATTTGCCTTTTATTATATAGGAATGGCAAAAACTGTCATCTGATAAAATGGATTTTCCATGCATGCTTCAACTATTATGTTATTACTGCTGGAGATACTCTATTAAATTAATGCAATTCTTTTAATCCCACAAGTTTGCCTTTTAAAAGGGTCTCTTTGTGTGTAAAATGAACTATTAGTATAAGCTCCAAAGCTTTTTATTTAGCCCAATGGGAAATAAAGATTCCTTTACCCTTGGTATAAAGTATATGTAACTCAAACAACAAAGTTTTCTCAGCACTTCACTTTAAATCATATAGAAAATCATCCTGTATCTGGTCAATGGTTTAGAACAGTGTTCGGCAAACTGTGGCTGGCAAGCCACATGCGGCTCTTTGGCCGCTAAAGTGTGGCTCTTCCACAAAATACCACATATGGGCGTGCACGTACAGCGTGACTGACTTCATGGCCCATGAGCAGAAATCAGTTTTCGGATCTCAAAAGATATTTCAATCACTGTACTGTTGATATTTGGCTTTGTTGACTAATGAGTTTGCAGACCACTGGTTTAGAAGTATTAAAAAACAAGTGGCCTGATGCATGAAGATTCATGCAAGAATGGGCCTTCCTTTCCCTGACTGCTGGCACTGCCTTCGCTCTGACCACAGCCCCCTTTTTGCTCCAGCCAGGAGCTGCCTTTCTGCCTTCCCACACTGCTGAGAGGCCAGGTGCAGCTAGGGAAGTATGAAATGCTTGCGTATTCACTACTGGGCACTTGTGTATACAAATTAACACACCATGTTTGTTGGGTTAATTTGCATACTAACTTCTGATTGGCTGGTGGGTGTCATGAAGGAGGGTCAATTAATATGTTACTCTTTTATTAGTGTAGATTATCTTAATTCAAATTTTCCTTTTTATTTTTAACCAAAATCTGTTATCTGGCTACTGATATGTTGAAACTTATAGGAGGAAGGTAAGCATGAAAAACTGTAAAATACAGTTATACTTTTCTTACAAAAATAATTAAAATGGGACACAAAACCGGAAGACACTAGAATTTACCACAATACAGCAGAATGTATTTGGAGATACTAAATGTGATGAAGAAATACCCTATTCTACATGTGCACGGGGCATTTGCATATTAAGCTGGGCAGATAAATAGCCTGACCTACTGCCCGAAGGTGGAAAGTGACAAATGTCAGGGAGAGGTGAAAATGGAAGTAGCAGACACATGCATCACTATTGTGTTCCAGTGGACGACACACAGGCTAAGTTTGTCAGATGCATAGTCATTTGGACAAAGGTCACCACTCTATAAAGTGACACAGGACTATCAAACAAATAAATTAACATATTTGTCATGAGAAATTTTAATAGATTTGGCAGTTTTATACGAAGAAAGTTCCAGTTATGAAAGTTCCACTTACTACAGTAAATCTTGACCACTTTGGAATTTGTGATCTTTCAAAGGGATATAGATAAAAGTTTAACTTTTACACTGTTTGAATAATTCATTACATAAACTATTTTGTGAGAATTTTAAATTATTTAAGGAAATTTTACTAAACCTCAGTGAACACATTTAAAAACAAAACAAGCATTTTACAATTCAAATGTGTTAACATGAACTTATCTATTTTACACTTTAAGAAATGTAGGTAATATTATTCACCCAGATCCCTAATCACTTTCTAAAAAGTAACAAAATTAGATTAAAAAGAAATTCTGACATTTAGATTTTTTTATAAGTGCAGACTTAATAAACTGACTTTTCTCCTAACTATGGAGAACTTAGGGAGTAAAATTATTCTTTAATTTTTTTTTTTACATATGAAAACTGCCACGGTAATCCTTACAGCCAATTTAGGTAACAGAATCAATAGTTAATTCTTACATTCTGTTTTTCCTTTATGACTTTTCCATAATAGAATAACAATGCAATTCCATAGCCACTTAAGTCAGTTTTTTAAGTGTGTGACATTTATTGGAGTGGTTTTATCATGAAAGTTTTGCAGGTTAATGTATAACAAAATATTTTTGTTCTGCCAAAACCAGAAACTTAATTCAATGTTCTGTCACATCAAACATTCTAATTTTCTTTCTAGTAAAGATAATTAAGCAACAATAATTCAGATTAGATAATGTTATTGAGTCTTATTATCTAATAAATGATAAATTTTTAAAATTTTTGTGAGGGAAAGGTTCTAGAACTGAGGAAGTAGAGATTAGTGCCACTTTTTAAGTCTTCCTTTCCTCTTTCACCTGTGTAGAATGTGATTTCTGCCTGCCACAGAGAAGTATAATTGTCTCAAAATGTGTTATGTTAGGGGTTCAGTTAATCCCCTGCAGTTATAAAATAAAATAAAAAGTGTTATATATCTCCTTTTTAAATATCAGGTAATTTTCTGTGCAATCTCTCCTCCAAAATTCTGGTAATTTTATTTTAAGGCGATATTTCACATATTTGCACCAAAATCAACTATCTTTTTTTATATAGACATTTCCAGGGTCCCTTATTACTTACTGGACTTAAGCAGGGTTGCCATTCTCTTTCACTCTATTGAGATCTAGACTGTATTAATAATTAGAAATACTACTGAACTTTTACGTAGCAACCCCCCCCCCCCCATTAAAAGCAAACTATTGTAGAATAGTTAATAAATTTAAGATCAAATTTTCAATTTTAACAATGATTTGGGAAATGAATGTTAAGACCCAATTTTAAAAAAATTAACATAAGGTGCCTGGCAAGTGTGGCTCAGTGGCTGAGCACTGACCCATGAACCAAGAGGTCACCAGTTCAATCCCCTGCTTCCTACGCCCTCCTCCACCCCCCTCCTCCCACCGGTCAGGTCACATACCCAGGTAGTGGGCTCAATCCCGGGTGGGAGGGGTGTGTGTAGGAGGTAGCCAATGAATGTTTCTCTCTGATCCATGTCTCTATCTATTCCTCTCCCTTTCTCTCAAAAATCAATAAAAAATATTTTTAAAAGATTAATATAAAGTCTTGTCTTTGGTATATAGCAATGCCATTGTCATATATGAAGTAGGCAAAGTGCTTTCATAAAATGAATGCATTTAATACCATTACTGCATACATTGATTTAGTATTATTGATAATGAAATGTGGTGGTGGTTGGGATTAGAAGGGAGTCAGCATTTGCTGAGCACCTTGTCAGTCAGGAGCAAGCCTGTAAAGTAGAATCATTTTAGGTTATCTAATGAGTTGGAAATGTGTGTGTGTGTGTGTGTGTGGGGGGGGGGGATGGAAACCATAAGGTGACTTTTTACTTTACTAGGGGATTTTTAAAAATTGTATTTAGTAAATTACTTTTGAGATAGTACCAGTAGCCCAACAGGGATGCTATTAGAGGATAACTGAGATTTCTCTCCTACCCTCGGCAAGGAGCCGATCTCTTCGGTCCTTTGAATCCTGTGACAGATATTTTTGCCTGCATGGTTTACCAGCAGGCTAAGTAATAGTTTCACTCAGCTATTTGCTTCAGATTAATACACTCTTTTTTCATTTCTTACTCAGCCTTCTCTGTAATTCCTTTCCTTAATAACATCATCACCACAAATGATTAAGCCTTTCTGCTGTCTCTTACGATTGAATCAGAGCAAATGATTGATGAGGTGCCTAGTTTCAGGGACAGATAGACTTCCTCACGCCCTG